GCCTGGCCATCCCAACCTAGACTCACTGAACCCGCACCCCACTTTGCAGAGGAGCCAAACAAAGCTCCCCTTGAATCTTTGCCCCACCCGGAGCAGCTGGAGGCATCTGCTGAGAATGAAAGTGCACATTTGGCCTATGCAGCGCCTGTGGCACACCCGGCCTCCTTAGCCTGGCCCCACTGCCGTGCTCTGGCCGTGTGGCCGCGCTTCCTCCTGCTCCCTCCAAGGCCCTTTCCTCCAATGGGATGGGCTCACCACAGAGGCCTCCGCTGACTCCCCTCGCCCCCATTTGCCACCTGTTCCTGCCTCTCCATCTCTGTCCTTGGATTCATTCCTTCATGGCACTTAACACGTTTTATAACTCCTTTGTGTTCTTTAGTTAGTGACCACTCCCCTCCCCTCCAACATGGAAACGGAAGTCACATGTCCATTCTCCAAAGTGTGCCCATGCCTTGTAGAGCAGCATAGGCAGGCGCTCAGTAAACTCTCACTGAGCAAGTGCAAGCCGACAGGCCGCCCGCTCCAGCTCCTAGGACCTGAGGACAGGTCTCCAGGTGGGGTCTGTCTAGCGAGCACATGTCCTAACCACTAGGCCACAGTCACCTTGCATTCCTTCTCCCTGGCCCTGCTCATCCTCCTCTCTTCACCATCGATAACTCCCTCATCCTGTCTGCTCTTTCCCCTCGTTTGGGATCCGCTCCTCACTGAAACAGAGAAGCCCTCCTTGGGGCAGGGGCATTCAGGGAGCGGGGCAGCTGAGAAGGATGTGGGGTTGGCAAGTTAGAATGCCCAGGAGATGGCCATGGCCGGGTAGCTCAGTTGGTTAAGCGTCGCCTTGATATGTTAAAGTTGCAGGTTTGATCCCAGCTCAGGGAACGTACAAGAATCACCCGTGAATACATAAATAAGTGGAACAACAAATTGACTTATATTTTTCTTCCTTCCCCTGCCCTCCCACCCCTATTTTCTCTCTCCCCACTTTCTCTCTCAAATCAATCAATAAAAATTTTATTTTAAAAATATATATTTCTTTATTGACTTCAGAGAGAAAGGGAGAGGGATAGAGAGATAGAAACATCAATGATGAGAATCATTGATTGGCTGCCTCCTGCATGCCCCCTACTGGGGATTGAGACTACAACTTGGGCATGTACCCTTGGCTGGAATCGAACCTGGGACCATTCAGTCTGCAGGCAGACGCTCTATCCACTGAGCCAAACCGGCTAGGGCCAATCAATAAAAAATTTAAAACAAAACAAAACAAAACAGTACTCCAGGAGGAAAATCCTGCCCTCTGGAGTCCTGCCGCTCACCTAGTTTGCCCAGCAGCATCTGGCCCACATCTTTGATGTCGTTATACTCGTGGAGCTGGGCGATGTGGTCCTCCAGCTCATCCACACTGTAGCCTCTGGGCGAGGGAGGGAGAACGAGAAAGGTGATGAGGACCCAAGGTTCAGAGAGTAACAAATATTCACAAAGGGCCTACTAAGTGCTCAGCACTGCAGCATAGAGAAAACAGGATAGACCCTGCTCACTAATAACAACACTGACAACGTGACCAGTCCCTGGCAAATGCTCCCTGTACCCGTAGAGAGCCATCCCAACCATACTGGTACTGTGTGACCCTGGCCATGGCTGAGGGATTCACAGATGGGCACATGAGTGCTATTCAGAAACCCCTCAAGTGGGAAATGCATTCAAAAGCTGCTCAGCCTGAGCCGTGCGGCTGGAGCAAAAGGCGTGGGAAACTCAGGAGCTGTGGAAGAACCAGCTTCCCCTGGGCACTGAAAACCGCCTGCAGGGAGGAAAGCAGGCGGGGTGCAGACGAAAGCAGAGGCAGATAATGTGGGCCCCGAGAGAGGCTGCTGACACAGCCTGAATCCAGCGGTGCGGTTCCGTCTTTATGCTGAGCTGGAATGACTGGGCACTAGTTGTGTTAAGTACGCTGAGGACCCCAACAAGACTTACTCAGATATTAACTGGGAGATCTCCTTGTCCAGCGCGTCCCTCTTCTCCTTCAGCTTCTCAATGTCAAGGTGCAGAGAATCCTCGCTGGCCCCATCAGCCTGGCCAGCTTTGGGAGATGGCCGCTGAGTGGCACAAAGAGCCATTAGCTGGACTGGCCTCTCCCTGCTTATGTTTGGTTATAGACACCACCCAACCCCAAAGACCACATTTCCCAGCTTCCCTTGCAAGTAGATGTGGCCCTATAACTTAGTTCTGATAGGTGGAACTTAATCAGAAAAGGTGTATGCCATGCCTGGGAACTGTCCTTCCAGGGCGAGGGCAGCCTTTCCTGGCCTTCCTCCTTCCTGCCAGCTGGAACGTGGAAGTAACCCTGGAGCTGAACGGCATCTTGGATGCTGAGGGTGAAGATGTGGTGGAATGAGACAGAGGCCTGGCTCCCTGAGGACTGTTTAAGCCACCGCTGTTTTGGGCTTTCTTTCACCCCCAGCCAAACCCAATGCTAACTAAAGTCTGACCCCAGTCTGACCCCAAGATTCTGCCTCAGGTCCGTGTGGATTCTCGGCGAAGTCACCGGGTTTATAATCTCATTAGCTGACGGAGTCTACAGTCCGGGGCTGTAGCTCATCTGTGCCCTGTCTGCTTCCAAAGGCCGCACAGGCCAGTGCTGAGCAGGCTGCATATCTTCAGGAAACGTGGGTTGCATCAACAGTCTACACATGATGCAAAAAAGACCGAGGAAGATGTGGTTCCTATTCTTAGGACGGGACAGTCACCAAAGAGTGAGTGGGCACCAGCTGCCTGGCTCCCGGGGTTCAGGATGGAGAAGACAGCAAGCCTGACCTCTGCTTTCATGGAACGGACAGCCTCATCCCAAATAGGAAACTCCCACCAATTACGCTTTTCCTCCCGAGATCTTCACTTAAAGCCCACGCACAGGACACACTGCGTCAGGAAGGGCTTCTCTGACCACCCCATTTAAATGGTCTCTCCTCGCCTGACTGGTGTGGCTCAGTGGTTGAGCGTCGACTTATGACCCAGGAGGTCACAGTTCGATTCCCAGTCAGGGCACATGGCCGGGTTGCAGGCTCGATCCCCAGTAGGGGGTGTGCCAGAGGCAACTGATCCATGATTCTCTCTCATCATTAATGTTTCTATCTCTCTCTTCCTCTCTGAAATCAATAAAAATACTTAAAGAAATGGCCTCTTCACTAGCCCTTTGTCCCGATGTTTTATGACAGCTGACATGTCATGCCTTTCATTGATAATACGAGGCTCAGTGCCCGAAATTTGTGCACTGGGGGGAGGGTCCCTCAGCCTGGCCTGTGCCCTTGCAGTCCCGGAGCACTCACTCATTACCGCGCGTCCCCCCCTCCTCCTTAGAGCTCTGCTTGCTGCCTCTTAGCCCTGCCGTGAAGGCAGGAGAAGCTCCTGCCACCATCCCTGGGCTCACCAGCTGGGAGCCCAGCTCCTGCTGAGAGGCACACGCCCTGTGGGAGCGCACTGACCACCAGGGGGCAGCTCCTGCGTTGAGCATCTGCCCCCTGGTGGTCAGTGTGCATCATAGCGACCCGGTCGTTCTGGTTGTTCCCCAGTAATGGTCCCTTAGGCTTTTATCATATAGATTATTTTCATTGTTGGCCTTACATCTCTGGAGGGTAAACTCCACGAGGGCAAGGACTGTTATATTTACTGTTGATTGCACTGCATCTACAACCATACCTGGCACATAGTAGGCACTCAATACAATTGATCAAATGAATGAGTGAATGACACATTAGTAGTAATCAACTAACGACAAGGTTGAAAAGTGCTTTGAAGCTGGAGTACAGCGTGCTAAGGGGATGTCAAACAGGGTCACTGGTTTGAGCCGGAAGTGAGGGTGAGGAAACTCAATTGTAAAGGATGTGTGGGCATCAGCTTGGCAAAAAGCTGAAAGAAGAGCGTTCCACACGGAGGACAGTACATCCCAACGCCTTAAGACGGGGGAGAGCACATGTGTTTGAGGGAACCCGAGTGCTCTGTGTGTGGGTGGGGTGGGTGAGGGAGGGGATAGCGGTGTGAGAAAGGAACCACCAACCGCGGTGTGTCAGGGAGGGGGAGAGACGGAGCCCCCTTGGGGTGCCACTGACAAGGACAGCACACGCTTCTTCCTGGCAGCTTGGTGGGCACGAGGACGAGGGGAAGACGGAGAAATGAGCTGGCGGTTCTCAGCAGAACACGTTGGCTGCGGGGAGACTTTCTCGAGGGCTGGGAGCAGCAGTGACTTACAGGGGGAGAGAACGAGTGTGGGGCCGGGGCACAGGCATACTCACAGGGGATCGGAAGGCCCCGCGGCAACTTTTGGAAAGTCCGGGTTGAGTCCTGGAGAGGAATCCGAGGGAGAAATGGCTGATTGGGACCAGGATCCGGGAAGAAGGGGTACTGTGGGGTGTGGGGGGAGCGGCGGGGACAGCCGGAAAGGGGGCGGATACACTTCCGCGGGGTCAGGGGAGAGGTCCTCGAGGAAGGGGAGATCCTGAGAGGATGGAGAGTGCGGAGGGCCGACTGGGGTCTCTGGAAAGTGGGGAGTCAGGAAAGGGATGTGAAGGGATGAGCTGTCCGCTCCCAGCCCACCTCCTGAGTCCTGGGGTCCGGGGCCCCCGTGGCAGGGGGGTCTGCAGTGCGGGAGGGTCCAGGTCGAGGGCGGGAGAGCGGCCTCTCAGGTCCGCCAGGTAAGCAAAGCCCGGCGACGGGGGCCCGGAAGGGCCACACGGCGAGCTGCGCGCGCACCAGGCGAGGTTCTGGCCCCGCCCACTCCGAGGTGGGCGGAGACAGCGTTCACTGAGACTCCTCCTGTTCCTCCCGGCCGGCGCGGGCCTGGCCACGCCCCCTTCGCTTTTATCTCTCTCGCGGACCAATGATATCGAAGAAGCGAGGCCACGCCCACCCAGCTGCTGCCTGTCGGCGCCCTGGTCCCTCCTTTTTAGTTTCAGTCGCCAAGATGCGCGGTGGCTGCCGGAAGCAATTCCGAGGTGGTTTCCGGGATCGCGGTGATGTGGCCCCCCCGTCTCCCTCCCCTTCCAGAGATGTCGGAAGAAGTCCGACAGAAAAAATTGGCGGAGGCCAGGAAAAAGGTAAAAGGTGCCGAGTCGCGGCTCCCCGACTCAGCCCGAGGTCCCTGGGCGGCCGGACCGTGGCCAGAGCCTGTGCTGCCTCTAGAGGCACACGGGACCAGACCCCGGGCGCCCCTAGGGGTCCCCCCGAAAGTCTGCTCCCAGCCCCGCCCCCCGCCCCCCCACTCCCAGCAGCCCAGCTCCCGCCCTCGCTCGTCCGCCCCGGGTGACTTTGGGCTGGTGACCCCCGAGATTCCCGGCTCCAGGCTCGGCGCTCGCCTCCTGCCGCCCAGAACCGGACCGCCTGGGCTCCAGGGCTCCCAGGGCTTCCTCTCTGCGGGGACCCGGATCCGGGCCCGGCGCTCCCTTCCCCCTGCGCGGAGCGGCGACTCGGGCGTCGGTTGGGAGGAGTGGAATGCAGTTCTGTCACAATCCCCCTGGAAACTGTCATTATCGCCGCGTTTGAATGCTGCGACCCAGTCTCCTAGTGTTTTCATCCCCTTTCGAGTTCTCTGGTCACGGCCCAAATTTCCGGCTTCAAGGGGACTCGGGACTAGGGGACTTAGGTCAGAGAGGTTTCAGGCTCCCTAGCTCTAGACTGTGCGTCATCCGTAGACACTGGTAGCGTGAAAAGCCTGCATTGCACTTGTGAGCTGAAACTGACCTGCATTGCACTTGTTGTTGTCATTGGGGAGAATGTGTTTGGTTTGGTTAGGTTTTCTCCCAAGCTTCTAACTATCCAGAGAGACTTTGAAATTTTTAAAATCTGAATTCTCATAACTCATGTTCTAATTTCTGATGATTCTGGAATCAGATTGGCCCTCAGTGCTCTTTGGAGCGTTGCACTTCACAGCTGGCAATCCTTCCCAGGTCTCCTCTCAACATGGCGTGCTGGAGTGCCACAGGAGAAATAGCACCAGTGTTGCTGAGTTCTCTTGAGAGAGAAAAAGCCTTTTATGTTAATATACGTAGGAATGACATTTGCATAGGTTTGTGAGGTTATAATAGACTTCTCTGACATGGTGCTTGGGTTGTCTCATTTCTGTTACCGCCCCGGATTCTGTTACCGCCCCGGTGCGCCTTCACTGCCTTCTGCTCCTAAGCCACATGGATGTAGAGCTTTGAGAAGTAGTGGTGTGCATCTCCAACAGATTCAGAAAGAAGGGCCCTTATGTCTGATCACTTAAACGGTAACCCCTTCTCCCTCTGGTTTTGTCCCCTGGCAGCTGCTGCTTTCTGGCATAACCCCAGAACTCAGAGCTAGCAGACTTAGTTGAAATGCTATGACTGCCTTTTAAAAAAAAAAAAAAAAAAAAAAAAGCTTTGTTGCCAGTCCATTTCTTCAGTCATTATGTACGAATTGCAACACTTTGTAGGGTTGTTGTGGCATTAAGTCAGATGGCGAGTATGAATGTTTTTTAAACGGTAGGATGTAACTCCACGGGTTTGTAGTTGTCAGGAGTCTCACCGCTTTTCCTCTTTGCAGTTGAGAGAATTCCAGCAGCAGCGAGGCATCGGTGCTCCTTCAGGAGCTAAGAAGAAAAAGAAGGCTAAAAATGGCAGTAGCCCCGAGACAACCACCTCTGACGGTCACTCGCCTGAGGATGTGAGTCCTGGCCTCCGGGGGAAGGAGTGCTCAGGGGGCAGTAGAGGGTGGAGGTTGAGATTGTGGAGGAAGTGTTCGGTGCTGGTTAAGAATTCTGGGTTTGAATTCTTTTATTTTAAAATTATTTTTTATTGTTGAGGGTATTACAGATGTCCCCCATTCCCCTCCCCCACCCCTTTTTTTTTTAAATTCTCACCCAAGAACATGCTTAGAGTGAGGAAGGATGAGAGAGAGAGAAACATTTATTGGTTGCCTTCTGTATGTGCCCCAATCAGGGATCGAACCAGCAACTCAGTTATGTGCCCTGACCAGGAATGGGACTTGCAAGCTTCCATTGCACAGGTCGATGCTCAACCAACTGAGCCACTATGGCCAGGCTTGAATTCTTAATTCTACCCCTCCCTCTGCTAGGAATATGTTTAGGGCAAATTGTTCAAGCTGTTGGGGCCTGTGTTTTCACGTCAGTAAAATTGGGGTAATATTGTGAAGTTTAAATGACATTGTTGTTTTTATATTAATCCCTTAATACAGGGCCTGGTGTGGGTAAATATCCAATGAAGGGTAGTTGCTATTGGTCCTGCTCATCTGGTGGCTTTTCTCAACCCCAGTCCCCTGGGGAAGCCAGGCTGTGAGAACAGCCAGCAAAGGAGCCCCAGGGCATGGCTCCGGGGTACAGTGAGGAGAGTCCAGGGGTACAGAGGAGAACCCCAGGCACTGGATTAGGAAATTTGAGCCAGCCTCTGGGCAACCTCAGGTAAATCGCTTCCTCCGACTGGCCTCAGTTTCCTCCTTTGTGAGATGATATTATTGGATCAGATTAGTGTCTTTCAAACTTATTTTTAGCTGTAATCCCTTTTGTTCAAGAACTCTGTACTTGGAAGCCTGGCTTTTAAAGTGGAGGTGGGGTCCGGAGTCCTGCCAGATTGGTCCCTAACATCCTGGGTCTGAGGAGAGGGCCTGGAAGGTGTATTCAGAGCTGCACTGGTCAGGTGACTCCACTCCAGGTGACCGCTTCACTCAGGGGGCTTGTCCATCTGTTCATTTGCATTGATTCCTGCCTGTGGCAAGGCAGCCAGTGTCTGTTTGGAAAGGTGGCACCGGCCATGGTATTGATCCCCTTCTCTCTTCTCTAGCATTGAATTCCTCCGACCCCATCTCTTCTTCCTTCCCTGCCCCCCTTGCCTCTCTCTAAGCCACTTTTCTGTTTCTCCCCCTACCCTTGTTTTTGCCTTTTCGCTTCCTGTAGATTCAGGATATTCTGAAGGTGTTGGTGTCCGACCTTACCCATTCCAATGGGGTAGCGCTCGCCCCATTGGACGATTGGAAGGTGAGGCAGTGCTGAGACCCCTCTCTGGCTTGCTCTCTCCCAGCTGCGCATGTCCCCGAGGCTTCTCTGGTTTGGGGGGTTCTTTAAACTCCGGCTTATTTTTTATGTTGCTCTCATTAGCCCTCGGCCTGCTCATGTCTGCTTTTTCACCTGCTTGGTTGATTGGGTTTGTTTTCTTTCCCCACCTCTTTTATCCTCTTGGAGCAGGTGAGATGCACCTTGAAGGTTCAAGGTAATTTGGGAATAGCTTCCAGAACAGGTGTGTGGGGGTTGAGTTTTTTTGAACCTCAAGTGTTTGAATGGCCAGTGGTGATCTCAGACTAAGGTTAAAGAAAACCAAACCTTCAGGTTTTACCCTGGGGCATCTGTCCCCAAAAGAGCAGTTTGTAATTTTTCAAGTCGATTAATTTTGGTTTGAGAGTCAGCTATCGAGGGTCAAGAGAAAGGGAGTAAATATCAAATATGGACACAACTATATTCAGTGGGCCCCGGAGAAGATAGGGGAGGAACCGGGTAGAATGCCCACTGAGGGCGGCAGGCTGTGCTGGAAGGGGCCAGATAGAATGTGGCAACATTCCACAAGAGAAGAATTGAGGCTGGAGGGGTGGCTTTGGAGTCTGGTTTGGAGATCAGAGGTGGATAACATCCCTCCGTATAGAGAAGGAAACATGGAAGTTCCGGGCCAAGGGCGTGGTACAGGTAACGGCCAGGCTTATGCGCTCACAGAGCACATTCCAGAAAGGCGGGCAGCCTGGTGTGTGCCGGGCCAGGAGATGACGTTCTCCGGGTGTGATGTTGGCACTTCCTCCTTCATTAACTTCCTGGGGCACCTCTGCCAGGCCAGAGTGGGCTGAAATGGGGCCAGATCCTGTTGGTGGAGGCTGGGACCAGCCTGCTGGCTGGCGTTAGAGTATTTATCATCAGGCCTACGCACACCCAGTCGGTCAGGTCTCTCCAGGTGCTGTGACTCACCTTGTCATCCGGCAGCATGGGGAGGGCGGCACAGGCCGGAAGGAATTCTGAAGCTGGGTGTTTGCACTCATGATCTGTGCCATGTCCTTCTGTCCTTCTGAAATGAGGATGAATATTCCCATAGTCCCTTCGTGTGTTTTTTTTGTGTTTTTTTTTGGTGTGTGTTTTTAAAATATTTTTATTGATTTCAGAGAGGAAGGGAGAGGGAGAGATACTAGATGTTTACTAGATGTTTACTAGTTTATATATAAGTTTTTAGAAAAGTACTTTTCTCCTCCTTTGCTTTTTTGTGTCTAATGCTAGGGATGAGTGGGAATCCAAGATGCCAGGAGGGACCTCGAGCTTGCTGGGGCCCATGGCTGGGAGGATGCCCACCTCCCCCAAAGTCTGTCTGGTCAGCTCAGAACCCCTGCTCTGATCTATTAGGGTCAGTTGTATAGGTTGGCAAGGCAACAGCAGGTTCCAGGGCCAAAGGTCACAGAGTGGACAGTAATGCAAATAACTGGACTCCACCGTAGCTCCTCAGGTTCCACAGCACTTGCCCTGGGGAGGGTGGCAGGTTGGGACTTTCGGAGGCCAGAGCTGAGGGGTCCAGAGAGCAGGCACAGCTCCCCTGGCTGGGCGAGGTGCAGCCTCCTCCTCTGGGACCCAGCTTCGCTGGACAGCTCATGGCTCCCTAGCACTGTCCTTCGTCAAGCGTCAGCTTGTCACCATCTTCTTGTCTCTGCCCATCTGGCCTGTTGGATGGTAGCTCTCTAGAGCCAGAGTCATCTTTTTTTTTTTTTTTTAATATATATTTTATTGATTTTTTTTTTACCGAGAGGAAGGGAGAGGGATAGAGAGTTAGAAACATCGATGAGAGAGAAACATCAATCAGCTGCCTCCTGCACATTCCCTAATGAGGATGTGCTTGCAACCAAGGTACATGCCCCTGACTGGAATCGAACCCGGGACCCTTGAGTCCTCAGGCCAAACTGGTTAGAGCTAGAGCCAGAGTCTTAGGCCAGGTGTCAGGCCTGAGCCCGAAGAGAGGCTTGGGGGTGGGGGGCCTTCTGGTCAAGCAGGTGGGCCAGTCGGGGCAGAGAGCGGCTCCCCTGTGACTCCTGGTCAATCCAGGCTGCCGTCGGGAGCCCAGTCCGAGGTGGATATCTCGCCTCTGCTTTCTCAGCGGCTTCTTGGTTGGGTGGTTGTGTTAGAGCTAGGAGGTTGGGGTGGGGTTACTTTTTACTCCAGGAACAGGGAGAGGCTTCTAGTTGGAAAGCTTCATTCCTGGAGAAGACCTGAGTCAGGCCAGCGCAGCCAGTGGTTGGTGGGAGGAGGGGAGGGAGGAGAGGAGAGGGAGAGGGAAGCTGTGCGGCCAGCTGTGAATCCGCTGCTTCATCGCTGCACCTTCTGCCCAGCAGGGGCCCAGGGGGAGGGTCACTGAGGCACCGGCAGGCTCTCCCTTCTCCCTGATTGGCACGCCTTCCTTCCACCTGCTGTGGCTGCCTCAGGTCGGAGCCTGGCACTGTCTTGCTGTGCTCCAGGGGAACAAGGCCCCTGTGTTCTGGAAAGTCTGCAGTCCTGCTTTGAGCTCCGGCCGGCCAGAAGGCTGCAGAGTGGCCCGAGCCCTGGGCGAGCCATGGCCACACCCCGGAGTGGCTCCCAGCATGTGTGACTGTCACTGTTGCAGCAACACCTGTCCTACCTGCTCCGCATCCCCGCTTCCATGGCAGCGAGAAGCCTCTCCCGCGGGTCCTCCTAACCCCCTGCTCTTTTCCGTGCTAGGCGCCCAGAGACCACACGGCCCCCGCGGCACCGCCTGCGGATGACGCCATGTCGCCTGGCGGTGTCCTCTCCCCCAGTGCTGCTTCCTCAGCTCAGGTTCGTGCCTCTCCCCCTTTGCCCGAGGCCCCTCTGCGTTCACCCGTCCTCTCGGGATCTTCCCTCCTTTCTTCAGGGGCTGGGTTCCAGGAGCCCAGCGCCTTCCTGCGGCCTAGGGTGGGGGAGGCCCAGGCCAGGTTTCCCTTCAGTGTTGGGGAGCCGGCCGGTGGTCAGAATGAGCTCGGCTCACCCCACCCCTGGGTTGTTCTCACCTCATGCGTTTCTTCCCAAACAGAATTATGATCCTGAAAATGTCCCTTTTGTCCTGTCTGAAAGCACGTGAGTGTCTTCTGTGGGGGCAGCAGTTGCGAGGCTGAGGGAGTCGGGGCAGGCCACTGCCCACGACCCCGTCTTCCCCATCGAGCCTCCTGCACCCCTGACTCCTGTGTTCACCCCCAGATTCTCCTCTACTGAGAGCCTGCGCCAGCTCTCCCAGCAGCTCAACGGTCTCGTGTGTGAGGTACCCCAGAAACGGGAGCCCGGAGGGAGCTGGAGTGGGGAGGAGACACTGACAGAAATGGAGGCAGAGGTTCCCAAGAGGGAGGGGAGACGCTGGGAGCAGGCCCGCAGCTGGGTGAGGCTGAGCGAGGCGTTCCGTCTTCTCTGGAGATGGAGGAGGTCCGTTACATCCTTTCCCGCAGGAAGCACAGGGGGAGAGCTGCTGGGGAGGTGGGGTGAGGGGGAGAGAAGAACCAGGAGAGGTTGGCACAAAGGGGTTATGGGAGGAGGGGGCCAACTTAGGAGGCAGAAAAGAACATCTTGCCAGTCGCTGGGGAAGACAGGAAGTCAGAGGCTTAGGCGTGCAGAGGGCCGGAGAGCATCTCCATGTGAGCTCTTTCATCTCTCCTAGTCTGCGTCCTTCGTCAATGGGGAGGGACTAGCGTCTTCCGCTAATATAAAGGCTCTGGAGGTGAGTGGCTCTGGACTGTGGCCCAGTGACCCTGCAGGCCAGCCTCCAGACCCCAGCGGAGGGGGCTGGGTGCCCTGCTGCCAGCTGAGACCGCCCGGATACCCCTAGCCCTAATGATTGCTCTCTCTACCTCTCCCCCCACCCTCCTCCATCTCCTCCTCTCTGCATGCGCCTCAGAGCCGGTACCAAGAACTATCCCTAGCCCTGGACTCCAGCAATCTAACAAACAAACAACTCAGTAGCGAGATAGAGGAATTGGTAAGAGTCCAGTGGGGGCCCCTGATTCCATGCTGCCAATCTGAGAAAGGGGCCGGGAGCCCTCGTGCCAAGGGAGAATGGGGTGCCGGGGGCCTAGGCCTCAGCTGGAGGGGCCCCGGAGTGCGGGGCATGTGGCATGGCTCTTCTGTGGCTGCCCTCTGTGCCTGCTCTGTCCTCCATACCTCACTGCTTGTCCAACCTTCTCCACACTCGCCCTGGGGCCACTCTTTCTGCAGGGACAGTACTAGCTTGACTGTTGTGTTCTGGCCCTGACTCTGCCCCTAATTTGCTGTCTTTGACCTTGAACAAGTCACTTCTCTCTGGACTTCAGTGTCCTGAGGGTATAGAAGTAGAGGGTATCTAAAGTCCCTTTTAGCTTAAGAAATCCAAGATGGAAAGGTCCTTTTCATTCCTGTATCTCTGCTATTGAGGACAGAGCCTGTCCCGTGGGGTGTGCTCAGTAATATTCGTTGAGTGAATGAATGGATGAATGAATGACTGAATGCCCCCGTCCACACCACGAGCTGGCAGGGTGTCTTTCCCTCTCAAAGCCCATTGCTAGAGTTTTATGTCATTGTCCACTCAGGAATCCAGGGACCAGAACCACCCTAGACCCGCAGTCTCCCTTTAAAAGCCATTCCTGGTCCCTGTCCGTCCCTCCTTGGTCCGGGGAGCATAGTAAAGGGGACATAACCTCAGTCACCTTCCTCTGACTCTTTCCACAGAAACGGCAGAACCAGGAAATCGCAGATCAATTAGAAAAGGTAATGTGATTTCTTTGTCTACTCATTACACGGCTGAGGGGCTCGGAGGAGGACTCGGCCTGGAAAAGTAAGGGGCCCACCTCTCGCTCCCCCGCTCCGGCTCCTATCAGCCTGGCCTCGCTGGTGGGCTTGTCCCGGGCCCGTGGTGGCATTCTGGAGCATGTGCTTTGCTCTTTGATTCCTCCTCCCAGTAAGAGGTGCCTCCTCTCTCTCCCCCGCAGGAGAAGCAGGAGTATAAGCAGAAGCTCGCGAAGGAACAGGGGGCGCTGAGGGAGCAGCTGCAGGTGAGCCGGCGGGAGCGTGCTCCCCGTGTCCCCCCGGCGTGTGCTTCCCTCTCTCAATGCCTGTTTGGCTTTTCTCCCGAAGGTTCACATCCAGACCATAGGGATCCTCGTGTCTGAGAAGACAGAACTACAGACGGCGCTGGCCCACACTCAGCAGGCAGCCAGGCAGAAAACAGGTGGGCGTCCGTGCCCTGCTTCCTGCTTCAGCCCGGCACTGGGCCGGCCATGAGGGGCCGTCCTTCTCTGGGCTTCGTCTCTGTCCTTCCAGGCGAGGCCGAGGACCTTGCTGGGCTGCTGCAGTCCTCCCAGCAGCGCGTCGGCGATCTGGAGCGGACGCTGTGTGCCGTCTCCACGCAGCAGAAGCAGGCGGACAGGGTGAGCCAGCAGCGTCTCCGAGGCGGGAGTGAGCCTCAAGTTCCCTTTAAAAAAAAAAAAAAAAGTTTATTTTTTTCTTTTTAAAAAATCTTCACCCCAGGATATGTTTTCCAATTTATTTTAGAGAGAGAGGAAGGGAGAGGGAGAGAAACATGGATGGGTTGCCTCCTATACATGTGCCCGCCTAAGGGATCAAACCCACAACCTGAGTGTGTGTCCTGACTGGGAATCAACCCTCTGTGCACAGGACAGTGTTCCAGCCAACTGAGCCACACTGGCCAGGGCCCACGGTCCGTTCTTCAGCATGGCGTGTGCTGCCAGCAGGCAGCGGGCCATTTCCCACCGCTTTCCAGTTGGGTGGGCTGTTGGAAGCACTGTGGGTGAGGTGGTTGCTGTGGTTGTTGGGAGTGTACTGTCCAGAGCGAGCCCTGGATATAGAGCCCAGAGTCCACGTGCCAGCCCCGCCCTTACCTGGCATTGGGCCTTGGCCAAGTCCTAGGCACAGAACAGTATTTTTATTGTGTTACCGTGTGTAGAAAGGGGAGAAGTGTGTGTGTGTGTGAGATGTAAGTCATGTCTGAAAGGACCCATAAAATCCCAGGGGAGAGGAACAGGGTGGCTGGGAGACATGTCACTTCTGTGCCTTTGAGTTTGGGGCTGAGTCAGTATCATCCATTAAGGTAATGAAAGATTTGCCGAAACCGGTTTGGCTCAGCGGTAGAGTGTCGGTCTGCGGACTGAAAGGTCCCAGGTTCGATTCCGGTCAGGGGCATGTACATTGGTTGTGGGCACATTCCCGGTAGGGGTTGTGAAGAGGCAGCTGGTCGATGATTCTCTCTCATCGACGTTTCTAGCTCTCTAGCTCTCTCCCTTCCTCTCTGTAAAAAAAAAAAAAAAAAAAAAAAAGGAAAAGAAAAACAGATAATGAAAGATTACAATAAAAATGTAATCTCCCCCCCTCATATTGTGCCCATCCCCAGACCTGAGTGTTCAGCCATAACTCTTAAGTGATATTAGGCAAGTGAGTTACCCTCGAATGCTCCGTGGTGCTCACCTGTAAAATGGGAGCAATAACAGTACTGCTTTCTGTGGTGACGGTGAGGGCTCACGGGGTTGTGACGAGGCTGCTGGTGACGGCAGCACTGTCCGCTCTCCTGGGCCTCTGTCGGCCAGCTGTGATGCTCTCCACCTGCCTCTTCCCCCCTCACCCAGTTCTCACCAAGAGCAGGCGAGAACTGGGCTCGGAAGTGCTTTGGAAAAATGCAGTGCGACTGCATGTGAAAAAGCGTCGCTGTTACTCTTCGTCTGCCACACACCTGACCTCACCTTTCTGTGTTTGCAGCACAACAAAGAACTCACCAAAAACCGCGATGCCCTCAAGCTGGAGTTATACAAGAACAAGTAGGATGTGGGGAGGGGGCTGGGTCGGGGGCTGGGAAGCGGGAGGGATACGAGTCGCATGGCGAGGTTGTCCATGTTGGACACGTGCAGCCTGACTAGTCCTTGCTGTGCTGGCTCATGCTTAACCTCATGCAACTCGTGTCCTTGTCTCTGGCCGGTCACTGTGACTCTGATCCTGGGGTCCCTGCCACTGGTCTGCGGTTCTGCGGTGAGGGCGGTGGGTTGATGCCGCGGTGGTCCTTTCTGTCTTTATTCATGCCTTTCCCCCTGCCTCTGGCCACAGCAAAACGAATGAAGACCTGAAGCAGGAGAACTCGGAACTGCAGGAGAAGCTTCGGGTCTTGGTGACGGACAAGGAGGCCTCGCAGCTCAGGGTGGAAGAGCTGCAAAAGAAGCTGGAGATGTCGGAGCTGCTGCTGCAACAAGTGAGGGCCTGGGCCCAAGGAGTCCCGCCCCCGCCCGCTGGGGCCAGGCCTCTGGGGTCACGGTGCGTGACCCCAGCCAGGAGCTGGAGAACTTGGATCCTTGTTCTGCTCCTGCCATGGAATCCTCCGGATTCTGATAAAAAATCTACAACTTGGGGCCCTGCCCTGAACTGTGGAATCAGAATCTCGGGGTTTAGGGATTTTGCATTTTTGCTTTGAAAGGCATCCTGACCGAAAGCCATTGTTTTATAGATGACATTGATCAGGCTGGCCCCGAGTCTGTTTTCTTCCTTTTGGGGGAGCGAGCCACCAGGTAGTCAGGGTGCTCCTCCTCTTCATTTTCTCCACACTGAGCAATACTCTGCCCTCGCGGAACTAACTTCCTCCCACTGGGGTCTTCCTGCCCTCCGGAGCGGCACAGGCAAAGTCTCAACTCTTTCCCAAGACAGCCCTGCAGGCACTTTGAAAGGGTGTGTGTGCGTTCCCTGTCTTCCCCAGAACCTGTTCTGAGCTAAACACCCTCCTGATTGCTGTCTCCCGGATGTGACGTGGTTGTCGGGGACCCCAGAGTGAAACACCGTTCTTCAAGTTTCTGGCCTGGGCAGCAGGCAGATAGGCAGTCTGGCAAGTGGCCGGCTGGAGAGATGAAAGAGCCTCAGGGTGCTCCGATGGCTGCTCATACCTTTGACCCAACCGCTCCATCTTGAGGGCCAGCCCCATGTGTAATGTCACTCGCTATAGCCGTCTAAAAGGCCCTCAGGAAGAGTATGAGGGAGGTATGCTATATGCATATGTTGGACTGCTGTGCAACAGTTACAAAATTAAATATACCTTGTACGCAGCAAAGTGAAAGTAAGTTGCAGAACCATCTGTGAATGAATCCCAAGGCAACACATATTGGGAGGACTGAATCAGGTGGAAAGGTTGGAGGACTTGGAACACTCATTGACTAGCTTACACTGAGTATTTAGTAAAGATAAGCCTATGGACGTGGTACTGACAGAATGAGGCTACAGCTCTTCGTTGGCCCTGAGTTGTTCAGACCCTTTTGGGGAGTATTGTGTGGGACCACCGGGGCTCCCCGGATCTAACCTCATTCTCCACCATCCAGTTTTCCAGTCAGTCTGAAACCCCCGACAGGAAGGAGCAGCTGCAGCAGGCGCTGGAGGAGCGGGCGCAGCTGGAGACACATGTGGAGCAGGTGAGGCTCTGCAGAGGGAGGGGTGTGATGCCCGGGGGTGGGAGGGGCCGGTGCCAGCCCCCGCTGACTTCTGTGCCCATTCTTGCAGCTGAAGGAGCTGCTGAAGCAGCTCCAGATGGAGAGAGACCAGTATGCAGAGAATCTGAAAGAAGAGAATGCCATCTGGCAACAGAAGATGCAGCAGATGTCAGAGCAGGTGAGGTGACTTCCGCCTCCACCTTAGATAGGGCACCTGTGAAATGGGAACCACATCACTTGTGTGTGCAGGTAGATGTGTATGTGTTTTTTTTTAATTTAAAAAAAATTATTAATTTGAGAGAGACTGATTTCCACTTATTTAGGCACAGTTGGTTGATTCTCATATGTGCCCTGACTGGGATAGAACACACAACATTGGCTCCTGGGGACAATACTCTGACTAGCAGCCACCCAGTCAGGGCTGGGTGTGTGTGCTTTGTAGGTGGGGGCAGAGAGGGAGATGGTCACATGGCCATTGGCCCATTCCCTCCCTCCATACTCTCTGTGCTTTGGGCAGGTGTGCAAGCTGAGGGAGGAGAAGGAGCAGAGCGTGAGTCAGGTGCAGGAGCTGGAGACCAGCTTGGCCGAACTGAGGAATCAGATAGGTAAGTTGAGACTGGAGTGATCTGGGAGCAGGACTCATGTTGGGGAGCCTGAGAGGCTGGCTAGAATGCCCCCAGAAGGGGGGCGGATGGGAGGACACTGTGGCACAGGGAAGAGGTGTGTACCAGGAGCTGACAAGTCTTGCAATCTCTCTGAGCCTCAGTGTCTCCATCTGAAAAAGGGTGGAGTGTGCACTGTCCACCCAGAGTGGTCTGAGCATGAGAATGTGGAGAACTAACTCCATTGAAAGTAACTTGAAAGATTGAACCTTATAGGAGTGCGGGAATTACTAGCAGGAAGCCAATATTTGGGGTGAGGAACCCGAATTAGCTGTGGACCAAGAGGCGAGAGGCCCTTCTTGTCTGCTTGCCTCCTCAGCTGTCCCCCCACCCCAGGAGCCCCCCGCAGGGCCCTCGGAGGCGGAAGAGCAGCTACAAGCCAGAGCGGAACAGCTACAGCAGGAACTTGAGGTCCTGACGGGGCAGCTGCGGGCCCAAATCCAGGACAATGAGAGTCTGAGTCGCCTGAATCAGGAGCAGGGGCAGCGGCTGCTGGAGCTGGAGCAGGAGGCCGAGCGCTGGGGCGAGCAGGCGGAGATGCGCAAGCAGATCCTGGAGGACATGCAGAGCGACCGCACCACCATCAGCCGCGCGCTCGCCCAGAACCGCGAGCTCAAGGAGCAGCTGGCCGAGCTGCAGGACAGTTTTGTCCGGCTGGTGCGAAGTCTTTCCCTGCGCCTTTGTTTTCCCGCCTTTAGGATAGGGTGGTATGGTCCTTAGCGAACTGGAGCCTATGAAGGCATCCTATGCCCCAGAGAGGCCATGTTGATGAATGTGAGGAAGCAGGGAGTGGGGGGTTCCCTCCTGCTTCTACCCTTTCCTGAACTGTGTGTGTGTGGGGGGGGGGGCAGCGGCAGGGGGAGGTGATCAAATTCCGGTGTCTCCAGCTGCATTGAGTGGCCACTAATTGCTTCTCTCTGTGTCCAGACCAACGAGAACATGGAGATCACCAGCACGCTTCAGACGGAGCAGTATGTCAAGAAGGAGCTGGCCAAGAAGCTGGGCCAGCTACAGGAGAGGCTGGGGGAGCTGAAGGAGACGGTAATGCCACCCCAGCCAAGAAGGGCTCAGACACGCATGTCCTCGGGTGGAAGCACTGGGCAGGGATGAGCTGGGTGCCGGGGCCAGAGCTGAAGCAGCTCCTGCCTGGAGAGAGAGGCGGTCCCAGAGTTCTTCAGAGCCTATGACTGCGTTGCCCTCTGCCCTCTGCCCTCTGCCCTGTACAGGTGTGTAGCCTGTGCTATGGGTCAGCTCCAGGGGAGGCATTTAGCTCGCTCACAGGGGAAGAGATGTGGAATTTGGTGGGCGGCTCTTTGCAGTCAGCCCTGGCTTCTAACCTCAGCCCCACTAGTCACATCTCTGAGCTCAGTTTCCTTAACTTGAAAGGGAGACTAGCACTTTCCTTATAGCGGTCTGAGGATTAAACAAGAATCATGCATGTAAAGTCTCGGGCATTTAGTGTGCAACTTAGCAGATACTGGTTGGCGTGCTCTGCTTTTCCACAAGCCTGTGGCCTAAAGTGAAAACAGAAAGCAGGTTGTTATGAGGTATGAGCCTGGGTGAAGGCAAGGGAGGCAGTGGCTGTGGCCCTGGAGTGAGGAAGCCAGGGGCCTGGGCAGAGGCCTGGGCAGGGGGATCTGGGCTGGTCTCAGAATCGGGAAGCAAGCCACCACTTGCCCTCATGCCCAGGGCCTTCCTGCAGGTGGAGCTGAAGAGCCAAGAGGCCCAGGGCCTGCAGCAGCAGCGGGACCAGTACCTGAGCTACCTGCAGCAGTACGTGGCCGCCTACCAGCAGCTGGCCGCGGACAAGGAGGCCCTGCAGAAGCAGGTCCTGGTGCACTCCCAGCTCATGGAGCAGCAGCAGCAGGAGGAAGTTCAGAGCCAGGAGGAGGCCAAGCAGGCCCGCCAAGCGTTGCAGGAGACCCAGGTGAGTGCGTCGGAGTGCTGGGCCGCTAAGCCCTGAGTGGGAAGGCCTGCAACCCGTGTCCTTTCTCACGCTCTCTCCTGGCCCCTTAGGGGCTCCTGGAAGCTGTCAACCAACAGAACCAGCAGCTACAGGCCCAGCTGAGCCTCATGGCGCTGCCTGGGGAAGGTAATTGGAACTACCCAGAGGGAGAAGCCCGAGCCCAAGGAGGAGGGGGACTTTTAGCAGCTAAGAGCTGGGTCCCGAGCTGTCTTCCTGGGCTGCTCACTGCCCTGTGGGGTTGTCTGAGGCCCTCTGGCTGCCCCGACAGGAGATGGACTGGATGGAGAGGAGATGGAGGAGGAGGCCCCCCGGCCAAAGCTGAGTGTGCCGGAGGACCTGGGTAGCCGAGAGGCCATGGTGAGCTGACCTCCCTGCCCTTTGCCTGTCCCACCTGCCTGCCTCTGAGGGCCCTTCTCACCTCTTGGTTTCTGCCCTCTGACTTCTCTTGATTCTCAACCTCCGCTGGGAGCCCATCCCTGACCCACGGATGTGTCCACAGAGGCCCTGTGATGGCAGGGTCCTCACTGCCTCCCGCTGCGCTGGGCATGCCCCCGCAAAAGCGCACGCACGCCTCTTGCCCGCAGGTGGAATTTTTTAACACGGCCTTAGCCAGCGCCGAGGAGGAACGGGCACAGCTGCATCGGGAGCTGAAGAAGCAAAAGCTGCACTGCCGGCGCCTGGCACAGCTGGCAGCCCCATCCCAGCGCAGGCTGGAGGCGGGGACCCCAGCCCCGAGCACCGAGGGGGACGGTGTGCCTGCGGAGACCCACCAGGCCCTGCAGGTGGCCATGGACCAGCTGCAGGTGAGTGAGTGTCCCCTGGCCAGGGCCAGGGAGGGTGGGAGTGGGCGGGGCAGGTGGCTGCTAAGCCCTGTGCCTGCTTGGTGGCTGCAGAGCCGCTTTACAGAGGTCATGCAAGCGAACGTGGATCTGAAGGAGCGGGTTGAGGAGCTGGAGCATCGCTGCATTCAACTGTCTGGAGAAACAGATACTATTGGTGAGGGGGAAGGCCAGGGCCTGGGGCAGGGGGCACTGTATGGAGGGGAGGGATCCCCAGCAGCTGAGCCCTGTCCACCCGCCGCCCTCCCCCCTCTTCGCAGGAGACTACATCACCCTGTATCAGAACCAGAGGGCGGTACTGAAGGAGCGCCACCGGGAGAAGGAGGAGTACATCAGCCGGCTGGCTAAGGACAAGGAGGAGATGAAGGTAGGGCCAGGGCCCTGACGCCTCTGTGGGCAGGGCGGGGCGGGCCGGGCGGGGTTGCTGAGTGCCTCTCTCTCCAGGTGAAGCTGCTGGAGCTGCAGGAGCTGGTGGTGCGCCTGGTCGGTGAGCGCAATGAGTGGTACGGCAGGTTCCTGGGGGCTGCCCAGAACCCTGCTGGGGAGCCCACCACAGCGCCCCCGGCCCCCCAGGCCGCTGGCGCTGCTCTCAGCCAAGGCGGTGAGTAGAGCTTGGAGTGGGCGAGCGGGCAGGCGGGTGGGGGAGCGCCCTCACAGCACTCAGAGCCCTGCCTTCTCCAAAGATCTGCACGAGGTGAGCCTGGCGGACAGCGCGGAGCCGGGCCCTGCTGCGCTCGAGAACTCCACCGCCCAGCAGATCATGCAGCTGCTGTGTGAGCTGCAGAGCCCGCAGGAGTACCCGGGCCTGAGCAGAAACCCCTGCATCCCCTTCTTCTACCGGGCCGACAGCGACGCTGGCGTGAAGATCATGGTGATCTAGTGACATTACCCCTGGAGAATTATAATGGGGCGGCAGGGATGGGGTGCAGGGACCGGGTGGGGAGCCCACCCGGTCCCTGCACCCCATCCCTGCCGCTCCCATTATTATTATAATGCAAGAATAAACTTATTTATTAATAACATATGACAGAGGAAGGAGGTGGGGATGGGTTGATTCGACTCTATTTGTTTTATTTCGGAATAAATGGATTTAGCCATACTGCCTTTGTGTGTGTGTGTGTGTGTGTGTGTGTGTGTGTGTATTGGTTTTTAAAATATGTGATTTCAGCTGAAACCTGTTTGGCTCAGTGGTATAGCATCGGTCTGCGGACTGAAAGGTCCCGGGTTCGATTCCGGTCAAGGGCGGGCACATCCCCGGTAAGGGGTGTGCAGGAGGCAGCTGGTCGATGTTTCTCTCTCATTGATGTTTCTAGCTCTCTATCTCCCTTCCTCTCTGTAAAAAATCAGTAAAAACAATATATATATATATATATATATATATATATATATGTGATTTCAGAGAGAGGAAGGGAAACGAGAGAAAAACACTGATCGGCTGCCTCCTGCATGGAGCTCGCAACCTAGGCATGAGCCCTGACCGGGAATTGAACCATGACCTGGTTCGTAGGTGGACGCTCAGTCACAGCCATGCCAGCCAGTGCCTTGTGTGTGTGTTTCCGGTCACTGGGTCTTGGGTCCTGTGCCTGAGTACCGAACAGGAAGTGAGGGCTGCTAGCAGAGGGCAGCCTTCTGCATTGTGTGGAGCCCCAGGAGGTCTGAGCATGTCCAGTGGGGTGTTAGAGATCCAGGCCTGTCTTGTGCTGCTTGGTAAAGCCTGGGGGACTCCAGGGGGTCAGCCACAGCCCTGCCTGGATGGCTGACAGACTCAGAAGACTGATCTAACCCGGGGAGGGAAAGCAGCCGACTTCCAGGCCAGGTGGTTTCCATTCCATGAGCCTGTTTGTTCAGTCTCTCCACCCTGCCCGCCCACACCCCACCTCCTCCCTCCAGAATGATGGTGCGCCTGCCCCCTAGTGGTCAGAGCAGGATTCACAGGATGAGGACCTGCTAATACCCAGGTGCTCTCCCAGCAGCTGTGGAAAGGGTGGGGCCTGGTTTTATCATTCCTTACAGCACCCTAGCAATGGCTGGGTCCCCCCACCCCTGCACCCCGATGTTAAACCCTCACCTCAGTGCCACAGACGAACACAGCCACCAGAGGACACACGTCTCCCCATTGTCCAGAAATGGGTTTTATTCTCAGCCAAGAGACAGTAAGACTGGTAGCGGTCAGAGAACCACGCAGCTGCCAATACAGCGCCCTGCGCAGGAGGAGGGCAGGGTGGGATGGCAGCAGAGGGGGCTGGCTGTCACAGGCTGGGTGGGCATGACAGGGAAGCTCATCGGAGATGGCACGCTTGGGAGGAGGATGCCAGGGTGACAGCGTTCCCTTATAGCGGGACCACAAGACTCCTCAAGGACAGCACGGTAATTCCAGCACTAGAGGTGAGGTCGTGGCAGCCGTATCTGTGCACGTATATATATATATATCTGTATAATATATGGTTATTTATAGATATTTATAGAATGGGGCGGGAGAAATACCACTGAGGGGCACAAGTTTCACCAACGTCACGCTGGGTGTGTCAGCTCACCACTACAACAGACTAAGTCACAGAGGAAGGGGAGGCCGTGGGGCTGGGAGCCACTGTCAGTCACAGGACAGCCGTCCGGGCAGGCTTGGAAAGAGAAGTCTCCGAGGAACAGAGGGATCTGGTTAGAGGTCGAAGGGGGGCCTGGGGCTCTCAGGACGGGATGGACTTGCCTGACCCGATCGGCTGGCAGTTGGAGAGGAAACAGAGAACAGGAGAGAGGAGGGAGAGAGCTGGTAAGGTGAGGGCAGCTGCGCCCGCAGGGGGGTGAAGGGAGGGTGGGGGGAAGAAGACGCAGGTGAAGGTGTGGGCGTGGATTCTGGAAGAGACAAGAAAGGGAAGGTGGGAGGGAGGAGCTGGAGATGGGGCGGGGCAGAGCTTTGTGGGGTCTGGGCTGGAGGCCGGGGTGGCCCTCCCCTTGCCACGCACGCTGGTCTCTCACACACCACCAGGCAGTGCACCCACAGCTCCAGACACATGCTCAGCCCCCTCTGGCTTCCTTCTGTGGTTCCCTATCCTCAACCCACTGGCCGCGGCCGCCACTAGCATCAGGGAGGACAGGGCTCTGAGCCCCAGGCAGCAGCCACCAGGCCTGATGGAAAAGGCAGGAGAAAGAACACTTTGAACCAGGAGGGCAAAACCACAAGGATGGCCGGAGGGAGCCCTGGAGGCCTCTCTGGGGGCGCAGAGAGCCCAGGAGCCTCTGAGGGACCCTGGGGAGGTGGAGGACAGGCGGCTGGATGCCAGTGGCCACAGGCTTATAAGTCTAAGAGGGGAGCCTCGGGTGGTCGGGGGACCGCAGGTCGTGTAGGTGAGGCTGGGCCCTTCCTGCTGGGGAAAAGCAGAAGAATGCGAGTCAGCGGCCGGGACCGAGGCAGGCGGGTTCACTGGGCGAGTCTGCAGCCCAGCTGGGATGGAACTCAGGCGGATCAGCAGGCCCGGGCCTGTGAGCCCTTGGCTGGCTGGGAGCTTCAGCTGGGCTGAGAAGGCTGCCTTCAGGCGTGCACGCCCAGGCGTGGCAGCACCAGGGAGCAGGGGAAGGGCCTCGCCTGTGAGGTGTCCTGGGCCGATGGCGTGGCTAGGACCCAGAGGCTTTCAGAGCCTCCTCCCTCTTCTGCCCTCTGGGGGATTCGGGTCCTCTAGCTCCCAGGCTGTGAGCTGGCTGACTGGGAACGAGTACGGCACCCCAGGGTGACATCCCAAGGCTGCCTGAGCCCGAGCTCCCTGCCCCTACACCATACACCACAGCTCACTGCCTCCGGCAGCGCCGCAGAACACCATGTCTGCCAGCTCGGTGCGGAGCCTGTCCCTAGAGCCCCCAGGCTCCGCCTCGGAGATCCTGAGCCGTGGCACTGAGTCCCGAGGCTCGCTGAGAAGGGAGGTGAGAGCAGCTGGCAGTGAGGACAGAAGGAGGAAAGAATAAGTCTGGAGCTGCAGAGGGAGAGGGGGAGCCTGGCTCTGAAGGCCCGGTGTGCCCCGGTGTGGAGCTGGTGCAGCAGGGGCAGACACACCACTCATGCAGCAGGCCAAGAGGCATGTACCTACCGTGGCTGACTCCTCAGGGGTCACTGATAGTGATTCTGAAAGACAGCACGAAATCAACATGGCAGTTCACACGCACGGACGGGGCAGGCCTGGGGGTGGCGGACACGCTCACGCACACGCACGGGCGTGCACACAATGCTGTGAGGCCCCATGCACACGCTGACACACATGCCCACAGACAACACGCATACACCTCTCCCGCCTCCCCCTACCCAGCGCCCCCACTGGCTGGCACGTGCAGCATGGATCCGGGGCATGCAGCCACTTGGCACACGGAAGCACACACGTGGCCTGAGTCACGACACAGAAGCTCGCCCGCATACAGGAGGCATTTGCACCAGCTCCCTGCACACTCATGCCTGGCGCGCTCAGAGGGCCGTCTGCAATGCTCTGGAGAGTAGGTTTTGCTTTCTTAGGGGCCATTGTCATTTCTCTGCCCCAGAGCCTTCCATGGCTCCCTGTTACCCACCGTGTTAGGTCCTAACAAGTCCAACCTTCCTGTGGACTCTGAGGCTTCTTCAAGCTGTCTCATTGCACCTAGCCCAGTGGTCGGCAAACTCATTAGTCACCAGAGCCAAATATCAACAGTACAATGACTGAAATTTCTTTTGAGCTAAATTTTGTAAACTTAAACTTCTTCTAACACCACTTCTTCAAAATAGACCCGCCCAGGCCGTGGTATTTTGTGGAAGAGCCACACTCAAGGGGCCAAAGAGCCGCATGTGGCTCGCGAGCTGCGGTTTGCTAACCACTGACCTAGGGCAACCTTTGCTTATTCTTCCTCGTTCTATCTGCACTCTGCTCCGGCCAGCGGCTCTCCTCAATGCATCCCACACAGCCGCTCCCTGCCCAAATGCCTCCCAACTGCTGCCGACCGGAGCCTTATCTCCGTCAGCACCCAGGCCTCACTGTCAAGCTGCCCTGTGACTCCCTGAGTCTGCTCTCTCCCCTGAGGCAGGGCCATGCTGTGCCAAATGTTGCCTGTGTGTTAGCAAAACGGGAGTCAGGGCAGGTACCAAATCTTCCAGTTCCGGTACGTCAGACCTCAGCACGGACCGGGGGCATGTCAAATGGACTCACGTTGGAAGTTAGCCAAGGGCTCACAGAGCCCCATTTGTGGCTAATGAGGCATTCCTCTAGCCACTGTTCCCCTCGATCCCCACACCAACCCTGGGAAAAAGGCAGATGTTAATGATCGCTTGGTAGAAGGGAAACTGAGGCCTTGGAAGGGACATGCCTTGCCTATAGGCCAGAGCGAACCAGAACCTCTGAGCTGCTCTTGGTCAGCACCGTGCTGCCTGCTTTACCCATCTGCTGTGATCACGGATCACGGAGAGCGAGCCTCATCGCTGCTGCCTCATGAAGGCTGGACCCATGACCCTACCCTCCAGCCACCTGGAAACATAAACAGACGCTGTGGGTCTGATTTGTGCTTCCTCAGACAGCGTGTCCGGTGGGCACAGGGCAGACTGCGTTAGACATCAGAGTGAGTGTCCTTAAAAGAGGGTCATGGATCAAGAAGCAAAGCCACGGGATGAAGTAGAATCCTTTTCCCTGAAGGTCTCTGGGAAAGGGTCAGCCTTCACCCGCTCCTGCCCCACACTCCCCAGGTGGGCCCAGGACAGCAGGGCCAGAGGCAGGGGAAAGGAAGACAGCCATAGGGTGGTCCCATGGCTCCCGGGCCCTTTCCCAGCGGCTCCGTGTCCTACCCCTTTGCCTGGGTGCCATTCGTACACTCTCACACCCGTGTGCACGCCCACACTCACATCACACACCTCGCTGGTCACAGTCACAGTCACAGCCG